TGAGGGGTCTGCTTCCAACTGTACGGCTATGACCATTCAGGACAAACCAGCCACTTGGTTGACAATACATCCAGAAGCATCCACTCCCTCTGGCACCAATGCTCAAGACCAACAGTGTGTACCATGCGCAAGATGTACTGCTGAAATTCACCAAACATCTTTATTCAGCACTTCCCAAACCCACGACCACTTCCATCCAGAAAGAAATGGCCAGCAGACACATAGGAACACCACTACCTGCAAGTTCCCCTCCAAGCCACTAATCATCCTGACTTGGAAATATATCACCATTACTTCACTAAGGCTGGGTCAAAATCCTGGAATTCCCTCTCCAAGGATATTGTGGATCTACCTACAATATATGGAATGCAGCAATTTAAGAAGGCAGCTCATGATCACCTTCTCAAGAGCTACGAGGGATAGGCAATAAACCCTGGCCACCCAGACATGCCCAAGTCCTATAAGCAAATAAGAAAAAAAAAGAACATAAGTCTAGGCCATGCAGTTGTTTTCATGATCTAACCCTAGAAGCACTGTAGTCAATTTGCACTGCACTCCTTTCAAAGCCAATATAATTTTTTCCTAATGTGCAGCGCCCAGAACCGCACACAGTATTTAAGGCATGGTGAAGACAGGATTGTACACAATTGTAAAACACTTCTTCTCTTGTGCATTTCTCTCTTTACAAAAGCCAACATTGCAGTAGCTCTTTTTAAGTACATTTTGTACCTGACAATTATATTTTAATCAACACATGTAGACGGCTTTCTGAATTTTTTTGGACATCCACGATTTCCAGCCTTCCACAGTCCAAATGTATTTCTAGAGATCCATTTTGATCCAAAGTTGATGATCTCACACTTATCTACACTGAAATCCATCTGCTATCATTTAATCTATCAGCATCTCTTTGTAATATTATACTCCACTCTTCAGTACTTACTACAATGGCCCTCAAAATGGGACCCAACAAAATGTTCTTTCCAGCAGACAAGAGAAAGAAATTCACAACAGGGTAATGAAAAGGAAGAATAAGAACATGCTGCTTATTCTTCTAAATAAAATGGCAGTTTGTGTTAATCCCACACAAATAACACAAAGATGTCCACCCCAAAGTTCCCAAATACTTGGCATTCTGCACAGTGATGAGCACCTCAGTTGCCATGGTTTTCCTGGAGTATCACATCTTCTTTTAGTGGAATGTCAGCTGCTGATGTGATACTCAAGTATATTCAATTTTGACTTCAGTATTAAGCAAGTGTCATAATGCTGCCTGGCTAGGTATTTTCAGCATTTTCTGTTTATTTAATTTCTTGTTGGTGTGCTTCTAGCAGTCAGTTGAACTTGCTTAAATCTTCAACCATGATGGAATAATGTAAATTATTTGTATGATTAAATAATACTGAAAAATCAGACAGTAAAAGATTTGGAGAGGATATGCATCTGTTTTCTGGAAACATTCAACTAAAACAGAAACCTGCACTGAGCATGCTAAAATTAAACATGGTGCAATGCTGTAATATGGATTCGGCCAATAGCTGTTCACATTGGATTCAATTTGTGAACTGATTGCCTGTGAATGACATACATACACAATGTTTAACCATATGAAAAGCAGTTCCACTGGCATGCACTAGAATGTTTGTGCAATGACACTTACTCTTTCTCTGCCTTTTCTGACCTTTTTCATTAGTGGCAATATCCTCAAAGTGTAACTCCAACCAATTATCAGTTTTCTTAAAAGTATTAAAATCATCTTTATATGGAGCAGTGTCTCTTTATTATACAGTATGATCACTCAGAATGGAGTGCCTCCAACCAAAAATATATAAGAATCACTGCCTTAAGGTACCAAGCTTCATGCCATCAGCAAATTGGATATTATGGCTTTTCACTGCATTATCCAAATCATTAAGAAACACTGAATGATTGTATGTCCAGCACAAATATTTATGGGACACCAATAGTCTGTTTTTCCCCCCAATTTGAGTACATACCTGTTATCCCTACTTACTATCGCATAACCTACCTCAACCAAATGAACAAGTTGCCTTCAATTCTGTTTTAATTTTAACTAGCAATTTCTCGTGGAATCTTACTGAATGCCTTCAGAAGTGCATATAAAATTAGTCTAAAGACATTTCTTTACGCATTCTATAATGGCGATTACTTCCTCAAAAAATCCAATGAGGTTAATTAAATGTGCCCTCCCTTTACAATGTGTGCTGGCTCTCTCAAATCAGCTCAGTTTCCTGCAAGTCACTCTCCCCTCAATTATAGAGTTCAATAATTTCCTTACAATAGATGATAGGCCATAATTTCCTGCTTTTTCTCTCTCTTTGATACACACACATGCACACGTTTTTAAATAATGGAACTGCAATATTTTTTCCAATCTAGTGGGACAATTTTGAAGCAGCACACTTTGGAAGATTCTAGTAACGAATGTGCAATTTTCTCAATCATTTCCTTTAAATGCTAGTGTTGAAACCATGAGATCCTGGAGATCTGTTGGTCTTTAATGTCATTATATTTGTCAATACCATTTTCAGCTCAAAATGTGTTCCAACACCCTCGTTTCACAATTTTCTTCTGAGGACTGTCAGTTTAGTTATTCTCTTTCTCTGTGAAGACTGGCCAAAGACAATTGGTCATTCCTTTTTATTTGCAATACCCATTTTTAAAAAAAGCCAGGGTTATTATACCCTTGACTATCTTTAACATATTTTTATAATTTTGTTGGCAGCATAATGTTCAATATTCCTTGCAAATTTCTCTTTGCTGTGCTTTATCCCTGGCAGATGGCTAGTATTTGTAATTTTGTGCTGTTTTCATAGCTATTCCTCACTGCTTCTTTCTTCATCACAGCTCTTACCTGGAATCAGAGTTCATGCTCTTTAGCGATACACAATGGTCCATATGGAGTTAAATTCTTTGTTTGTTGCCGTCCACCATTCGGTTATTGTTCTACCAAAGCAGTTTTGACCAGCTTGCAATCGTCAGTCTCTGTTTCATTTGTTAAGTTAGCAGCACGAAACCCTGGAAACTTAGTAACCTTGTCAGATTTGGCCTGCAAAAACTAATCTATGAAATATATCACATTATATTAGCTGGGAGATAAATGTCCTTACTGTTAAAATCTTAAATCAATCTATTAAACTAACTCATAGTTAGGCCAGTCTCAATGTTTTCATTTAGTTGAGATCCGATTGGGTCTTCCTCATATTCAATCACTCAAGTGCACAAATTTGTAACAAATCCCAGGGATTAACTCTTTTCAAACGTTCCCCACTTATTATGGGTTGAACTTTTACTTTACGTAAACGATTAGTCCTGCTTGGATAATGTTATTTCAAATGTTGTAGATTTGAGCAAGTTTTGCCCGCGTCAGTCAATACTTGTGAACAGTGAACAATCCACCCCTCCCCCTCGACATAGATTTCAGAATCGATCAAACGGTGAAAACGTCCGAAACTGTCAAGGCAAGCGCAACCCGCACGAAACCACATAGTCTCCTGCTCACATTCGGCAATTACATTCACTACCGAGATATCAGCGATGCGACCAGTAACTAAAGAGTTAAAATATAGGTGTGTTTCCACGGAAGATTGGTTTGAGAAATATAAACAAAGACAATAAATCGGCTCCTTAACCCCACCCACGTTTAGTTAAACTAACACAGGTTTCTGTATTTGTTAGAGACCGAGCTTCACACGCATTTTGTAACTAAAAAGTGACTGCAAACCAGTCTCCTATGTTGTCAGTATAATTCTGGAGACGATTAATTTTCATCGGCACAATTTTTCATGTAACCGATTCCGGAGGAACTAAAAACATATTACTTCTAAAAATCAAAGCAGGAAAACGACAGACAAAAGCGGTACAACAAACATCGAGGTAATTCGACATGTTGGTGCCGTGTTTGCTCGTAAATTGATGGACTCATCATCGCAGCTCACAGAAACTAAGTGACAGTCAGTTTCGGTCAAGCCTTTTTCATGTCCATCACAGTCAACTTCCGTGTGTGGTTCTGCTGTACTTATTTACACAGTGAAGACTCCACTGACATCACTTTCCAGTCATCCGTGAACTTTAAACCTAAAACTGATCTCTGGTTCGAGCCTTTTTTTTTAATTTCCTGTCTATGTACATTTCTATGTACATTTATTATCCATTTATGCTTTATGGTTGTAAAGGCGAAAAGATCGGTAATTCAGACGCTGTGAAATAAATAAGTGAATGAGATGTATATCCTATTTATGATCAACTTTATTCACTTTAAACGGCACGTTTAGTTTGCAAATCTCACGACTCCTTCACGATTTTTCTCTCTTGCAGTCCAGCTCTACAATATGATGCATGTACAGATTCATTTACGTTCTTATCCCCAGGCTATCAACATGCACAAATATTTTCCCAGTAAATTTGTTTTCGTGAAACTTCCTTTATAAAGAGGGCAAAGTAAAAGAAAAGCGTGAACGCAGTTAGATCTGACAATCAAACTGCGCAGAATGGAGTAAATAAACATGATTCAAAGCAAGAGATAGTTCAAGGAGGAAGGCTGAAGGGAACAAGCACGATTATCTCCACCTATCAGTTTACTGAGAAACTGCCAGCTCTCCAAAAGGCTCGGCTACGCTTCTCAAAGATGACGTTCGCCGAATAGAAGCACCAGCGCACATGTGGTGTAAACAATTGAGATCAAAGATACAAAAAAGATAATGACTCTAAAGAACACAGGTAGATTGAGAGGCTGGGTCAGGTCCTCAAACTGGTAGATAAAGGGGCGAATGAGGTATCCTGTATATGAGCTTCCACTTCAACCAAAGCACAGATCTCAGCTCATCCTCGGTTCAGAGAGGTAGAGGTCCAGTTTCAAACTGGGCACAGGTAGATACAGGTTCTGCCTCAAACTGGCCACACTTCTAGGTGGGTACAAGTTTAATTGGGCACATTTCTAACCGAGTGCAGGTGGATCAGTAGGCATTCTGCAAACTCACCGGCAGTTCCACACTGACGTCTGTACCATCCAAAAGCTGCACTTTGCAGGTCAGGATCGACTTACTGTTGCCTGCTGCGGGGATGTGCACCGTGGTGCCACTGGGAACAGGTGTGGGGGACCGAACCCCAGCGCCGGCAACAGTGCCCAGATCCCGGGCTGCGGCGCTCCCGCCTCCTCTGCCGCCATCCCGCTCATCCGTGTAGCGGCGGACCGAGCGGCGCCCGAACGTCCTCCTCAGAAACCTCATCATCTTCGCCGGGGCTGGTGTTCCTCGTTCTGTCGCAGCCACCCCGGCTGCTCGAACGGCCAGACGGACCGACACTTGCAACTGCTATTGCGCCACAAAAGGCTGTGCACCGAGACAGCGTGGCCCCGGGCTGTCCGAACGAACCTTTGCCCGAAAGCCCAGGCTGGCAGCGCGCGGAACCAGGTGAGAGTGGAACCCGGACCGCGCGGCACTACGCATGCGGACACCCCTCCAACCCAGACCGTCCCACACTGGGCATGCGTATGATTCGCCCCCCTCTCATAAACAAGAGACAGCCAGTCCTCACTGGGCATGTGCATTCCAGAAAGGCCGCTGCCGCAAACACGGAACTGAGCATGTGCAGGAGGATACCTGCCTGCCGCTCTCACCTGGCGGAGCAGGCTCAGTGATAGGAAGTGACATCGCTCAAGCAGCACCTGGGCAGGTTGGGTCAAGGAAAAGTAGGGAATGGGCTGATTGGCTACATCCAGTCTCTGCTTGCACAACGAAAGTATGCCTACGTTAGAGACCAGAGTTCAAGTCCTACCACCACCTCTATAACTTTGAGGTAATATTCCGGAAATATCACTCTTGAAAATATGTATAAATGGAGGGTGACAATGAAATGTTGCAGTCTTGAACCTCCTCGAATTCAATTTGTTTGCTGACCTTTCAACAATGTTCTTGATAGAGTCTCTATGCAAATGTTACTTATTGAGAAAATATTTGCACCAATCGATGCTGGGTACAAATGAATAATTGGATAAAGTTGTACTTTTCGGATACCTGATGTATTATTGTGTTTTTAATTGTACCCCCATGGTGAAATAATCTAATAAATTCTCATCATTTTTATCCCTAATAGCGTTGCTGACCCGATTTCTGTGCGTGGTGAATTGTGCTATTTGTGTTTCTTTTTTTTATCTGCTATCTTGTTTTCTATTTAATATGTATCATTTTCAACATTTTTAGTTTTATGGGTTCTCATATGCGCGACAGACGTGCATTCTATTCGCTGTGTTCCTGGACTGTTTATATCAGCAAAGAAAATAGCAACAAATACAGACTAATTAACTGGTTGAGCCTGTTCCACCTTTGAATAGCATTATGGTTGATCTGTGACCTAAAACAATATACCTGGCTCATAAAATTGTGAAACTATACAACCGAGAAACAAGTGATTTAGCCGTTCATAACAAAAACATAACACTGCGGATGTCGATGTGAAATAAAAACAAAGCTTCAGGAGAAGAGTCACATGAGACTCAAAACATCACCTTTGTCTCTGTCTCCACAGATGCTGCCAAACCTGCTGAATTTCTCCAGCGCTTTCTATTTTCATTTAGCCGATCACGCCCGTGCGATTAATAAATCTAGCCAAATCTCACTTCACAGATCTCAGTTCATTCTGCTTTCTAAATTTGACCTTTCAAGCTGTGATTTCTCGATCCCCACGACATCAAAGCCTCTTATCTCTCCAACTCTTCCATCAATTATATTAAACACGTAATGGTTATTAACCACTCTGCTGAATGAAGTAGGTTATTTTGATCCAATTTATCTATGTCCTTCATGATTTTGTACATCTCAGTTAAGTCTCTCTTCAACTTCCAATCTTTCCTCATAACAAATATAAGTCTAACCACTACAAGGCACCATTGAAGGGGAGGTGATGGCCTAGTGGTATTGTTGCTGGACTGTTAATCCAGAGACCCAGATAATGTTCTGGGAACCTGGATTTGAATCCTGCCATGGCAGATAGTGGAATTTGAATTCAATAAATGTCTGGAATTAAGGGTCTAACAATGACCACGAATCCATTGTCAATTGTCAGAAAAACCCAACTGGTTCACTAATGTCCTTTAGGGAAGAAAACTGCTGTCCTTATCTGGCCTGACCTTCATGTGAGGCCAGACCCACAGCAATATGGCTGACTCTGAATCCCCCTCTGGGCAATTAGGGATGGGCAATAAATGCTGCCTAGCTAGTGAAACCCTCATCCTATGAATAAATAAAGAACAACGCACAAGTCAGGAGTGTAATGGAATGGTCCCTTCTTCCCTGCTTGATGAGTGCAGCTCCAACAAACTTGAAATCTGATACCATCTAGAACAAAGCAGACTTACATTTTACACATTCAACATTATTGTATTCCTTCAACAAAAGCTAAATTCTCTCATAAAAATATCAAGCAGATGTTATTGGCATCAAGAGATTGGAATTTAAAGGATCAAAGGCTAATTATCTGAAATCTACATTAGTGGTTTGCCCATCCACCTTACCACAGGTTTGAAATCCTACTAAAGTATAGAGGAGAAGGGTTGATGAGTGTGCTAAACTTTTATAGAAGGAAGACCAGTGATACGTGTAAAAACAAACTAGATAGGAGGACAACACAATGGCCTATAATGAGTTTCCCATATAAGAGACTTTAAAGAAGTTGGAACATTGGATGTGAAAACATAGGATATGGAAAAAAATCATTTTGTACTTCATTGACATGGCAACTAGATTAAGTCAGTCGACAATAATATATAGTACAGAAGAACGCATAACGGCGATTGATTGATTGATTTATTGCCACATGTACCAAAATGCAGTGAAAAGCAATGTTTATGAGCAGCACAGAAGGATCACAGCAAGCAAAGGATGTACAGATCAAAAGGACTTCGAAGCATACAGGTTACATTATTTGAGGCTAGAGTCCATTCAACAGTCTGATAACAGCCGCAAAGAAGCTGTTCCTGAACCTGCTGGTGCGTGTGTTCAGGTTTCTGTATTTTCTGCCTGATGGAAGAAGTTCTAGGAGGTCATTACCAGGGTGTAATGGGTCTTTGATGATGTTGGCCGCCTTTCCATGGCAGCAAGCCATGTAAATGGAGTCCATGGATGGAAGGTTGGCTTCCAGGATGGTCTGGGCTGTGCACACCACCTTCTGTAGTTTCTTATGATCCTGGGCAGAGCAGTTGCCATACCAGGCCATTATGCATCCAGACAGTATGCTTTCAATGGTCCATCTATAGAAGTTGGTGAGGGACTTTATGGGCATAAGAAATTTCCTGAGCCGCCTGAGGAAGAAGAGGCATTGTTGTGCCTTCTTGACTGTCACATCTACGTGGGAAGTCCAGTACAGGTTATCGGTTATCATCACCCTGAGGAACTTGATGCTCTTCACTCTCTCAACCTCAGTTCCTTTGATGGAAATGGGGACATGTTCTCCTTCTTTGTTTCTGAAGTCAATGATCAGTTCTTTAGTTTTGCTGGTGTTGAGAAACAGATTGTTTTCATTGCACCACATCACCAAGCCCTCTATCTCCCTTCTGTATTTTGACTCGTCATTGTGGACAAGGTAATAGGGAAATGGATAGGATAAGATTAGGGTACTAGGGTAAAATCTAAGAAATCCTTTGGGAATAAGTGATTACTCCCCATCGTTGGAAGGCATTATAATTAAATCCACTATTCTTCAGAGCACTTGAATGACATACATACAGGAAAAATGGAATTCATTAATGTTGAAGTTTCAGAGAGAATTAGAATCTTTGGTTAACCATAGTCAATTTATCCCTTTCCTAGAACACTTCTTACATCATACAACCATAAGATACAGGAGAAGAATTAGACAATTTGGCCCTTTGAGTCTACTTCGCCATTTGATCATGGCTGATATGTTTCTCAACTCCATTCTCCTGCCTTCTTAATGTAATGTTTAATCCCTGTACCAATTAAGAACCTATTTATCTCTGCCTTAAATATACTTAATGACTTGGCCTCCACAGGCATCTACAGCAATGAATTCCACAAATTAACCTTCCTATAGCTGAAGAAATACCTTCTCATCCTAGTTCTAAGAGCTTGTCCCTTCACTTTGAATCTGTGCCCTCGGGCCCTAATCTCTCCTAATGGTGGAAACAACTTCTCCATGTCCACTCCATCCAAGCATCTCGGTATTCTGTAAATTTCAATACAATCCCCTCCTCATTCTTCTAAACTCCATCAAATACAGACCTAGAGACCTCAACTGCTCCTCATATGATAAGCCTTTCATCCCTGGGATCATTCTTGTAAACGTCCATTGGACCCCCTCCAATGCCAGTGCATTCTTCCTTAGATACAGGGCAAAACTGCTCACAATATTCCAAATTCGGTCTGACAAGAGCCTTATACAGCTTCATCAGTACATCTCTGCTTTGTATTCTAGCCCCTCTTGAATTTAATGCCAACATTGCATTTGCCTTCCTAACTGCCAGTTGAACCTGCATGCTACTCTTAAGAGAATCCTGAACTAGGATTCCTGGGTCCCTTTGTGCTTTGGGTTTCAAAAGCCTTCCCCCAATTAAAAAATAGTCTACGCTTTTACTTTTCTTAACCTCACACTTTCCCACGTTGTATTCCAAATGCCACTTCTTTGCCCACTCTCCTAGCCTGTCCAAGTCTTATGCAGCCTCCCTGCTTCCTCAACATTACCTGTCCCTCCACCTATCTTTGTGTCATCTGCAAACTTAGCAACAGTTCCCTCTGTCCACATCATTAACGTATAATATGAATTGCGGTGGTCCAACACTGACCCCTGCGTTACTCCACTAGTCACTGGCCGCCATCCTGAAAATGACCCCTGCATTATTGCCCTCTGCCTTCTGCCAGACAGCCAATCCTCAATGCATGCCAATACATTGCCCTTAACACCATGGGCTCTTATCTTATTTAGCAACATCCTGTGCAGTACCCTGTCAAAAGGCCTTCTGGAAATCCAAATAGATTATGTCCACTGACTCTCCTTTGTCTAATTTTCTCATTACTTCCTCAAAGAATACTAACAAATTTGTCACATATGATCTCCCCTTTACAAAATCATGATGACTCGGCCCTAATTCAACAGGCACATCTAAGTATTCCACAATCTCACCCTTAACAATGCTGTATATAATCTTATAACAACTGACATCAGGCCAAGGTTTCCTGTCTTCTGCCTCCTTCCCTTCTTAAGCAGGGGTTCTACATTAGTCATGTTTCAGACCTCTGGAACCCTCCCTGACTCTAGTGGTTCCTGAAAGATCACCACCAATGCCTCTACAATCTCCTCAGTTATCTCCTTCAAAACTCTAGGGTGTAGTCCATTCAGTCTAGGTGATTTATCCACCTTCAGATCTTTCAGCTTTCCCAGCATCTCCTCCCTAGTGATGGCCACGACACTCACCTTTGCCCCCTGACTCACTTGAAGTTCTGGTATGATGCTGGTATC